CCCCTGCTCCCCTGGTAGCTATGACTACAACATAATTAAACAGCCAATCCAACTGTCATGGGTGTTTTCTTAATCAGATGTCCGACTGAGTGTAGTGTAGTAAGTTGTTCATTTCATGCTTTTTAAGCTAAAAGTCAAGAATCCCCATGGGTCTGTCTAGTGGCCATTCTTTAGCAGATATAGGAGATACAAGGATGTTCAGGTTTTTGGTCCCTAAATAGCCAAGTATTTTTCTTGCCATTCATGACAATGGATTTTAGTGTTTCCTGTAAGAAAGAGTGCAGTTAATTATTTTGCCTGAGCAAGCACTGCAAAACTGATCAATACAGCCATCTGTATTTCAGAGTATCAGCTTCAAGTTTTCATTGCAAAATATTGTTGTATTGGAGTTTTGCTATAGACTCTAATGAGACCAGAATTTTGCCCTTTATTGTAAAGGTTGATATGGTTTTTCTAACCTATTACTGTATCTTCTTTCCATTTGCATGAAATCAAGACATTTCTTTGGATTGCTTTGTCCTAGCAGGCTTTCTGAAATGGAATGAGCATTTACTTAAGGTGTTTCACTCAATGCCTGCTCTAATCTTTATTTCAGAGACATAAATAATGCATAAGATATATTCTTTGGATATACATTGCTGAGATTTACTGCTGGGAGAAAGCATGATATATAGACGAACATTGTTACCCATATGGACTGCCCATTCCAGTGCATTAGACTTCCCATATTCCAGGAAATCACCATGTAATCTTATAGCACAGCTGGCAACACAGGCGTGCAGAGCCCTTTCTTCCAACAACTTGCAAAGTGCATGTTTGGTGTTGGCTGCACATCTATCACTTATGAAGCAAAGCATGCCATATACATTTTCAATGACTTGACAATGCTATAAAGCATCCTTGCCACTGTTTGGTCAATACGTTGATTGGGATTCACAGGTATTTTTTCCTATGTGTATAGTTAGCAACCACCCAAAAAAAGAACAAAAGAAAGAAAGCATCATGTTTTCTGTTTCATTTGCTGCCATTCTTTTTTTTTCATATTTGTTTGCCACTTTATCAATGGGTGTGTGTAAATATATGAACTATGTACGTATTATTAAGTGGAGTGTTGTTTATACAAACCGATTCAACAGCAGAAATGATTTATCAAAATGATGAAAAAAAGACATGTCTATAAAGAGATGAATGGGCATATGCAGCAGGTCAACATGCGGTATACAAATGTATCATTACGTTAAAAGGAAAAGATGGAATATATTGTGGTTATGTCACCATATTGAAATTCCCCTAACATTGACACTCTGGTCTACATTGAGCTTTTCCAACGGCCTATGTTGCTATCTCAAACTACCAAGTATTTAATAGCTCATTCCTTTAACTGGGAAAGAGAAACAAATACTTCCAGACACTTCACAGTAGTTTACAGGTCAACAAACATACTAAAAGTTGTTTCTTTGTCTTTGTGCTTTGCTCTAAAATACTTTGAGAAAAGCATTGTTGGATTCAGGCTAAATGAGAATGAAAAGTGAGACAGGTTATTTTGTATCCCAGTTCCCACCATGAAGCCATGGATGATATTCTCATTTGTTGAATGCTGATAGAGGAAGGGGAAATACCTTTGCGTGAAAATTTGCCTCTGTTAGCATCAACAGATGTTTTGCTGTTGACTCCAACAAGACTAGGATTTCACCTGTTGTTATATATGAAAACATGTAACTAAATGGCCAGCATTCTCACTCATGTAGTCCCTTTGGGTCAAATTCTACAATTGTTCAGTAAATCACTTACACATGTGCCTAATTTAACGTGTACTTAAAACCATCCTTGTTCAGCAAAGAAGTGCCAGCGTAAGTCTTTCAGACTTCAGTTTCACATCAGCACATGCTTGAAGTTAAGTCCATGCTCAGATGCTTTGTTGAACCAGGGTTTTAATACCTAGAAGTTGAGAAGTAGATCTTCGTCACCACTGGGCCCACTGATTGCGATGGAACCACTTGTTTGAGTTATTATCCATGAATAATAATATATACAAGGGTTAGGATCTTTACGTCAAATGAACAAGGCAACTTTAAATATTTCACCATTTAATTTTTTGTCTTTTAAAGAAGAGGTATTATGGGAACATTTAGCCTGTACATTTCCTTATCAATTTTCATGTTTGTCATATTTTGTAAGGACAGCAATCATTTCACACACATGGGACACAGGCTACTTAATTCATAGATACTAAGGTCAGAGGGATCTCAACAGTTCGAGTCTGACCCCTGCCGAGGCAGGAAAGAGTGCTGGGGTCAGATGACCCCAGCCAGATGCCTATCCATTGTACAATCCATTACCTATTGTAACTCAATACAGTTATAATATCCATTATATTTTTGGAATTGTATAGAACAGTTCCACTCATCAGAGTGCTGTGGCAACCTGCCAGGGGTGCCATGATGCTGGCACTGCCACTGCAAGGTGAAACTGCCCTCGATTTTCAAGAGGTGCGTCACAGCCAAACAGGGAAGAGCTACAACCGAAGCAGTGCACCTGCCTGCATAATGTAATGCAGGCCCACCTTCCCTACGTGCCTGTGTCCCATGCCAGTGACTTCAGTATAGCACCCACTTGGCCTGCCCATCCTACCTCCTCAGCACTCTCCACATGCTGCATGTGCAGCCCAGCACGTTGTCCCTGCTGGTTGGGTGCCCCCAGACCCTGTCCCTTATGACCCCAGGGCTGGAGTTCAAAGGGGATTTCCCTGGGGTAACAAAGAAAAGAATTTGGCTTAGTGGTTCCTGATCCCCACCAGTGACCTGGATCCATGTGTGGGGAGCTCCACTTATGTTGTGAAGCAAACATGCACTGGCCCAGGCAGAACTATCTCTGCAGGGCTTTTTCATGTCCTTGTGTAATGAGAGATTTAGCAGAACTTACACATTTCATTGGAATTGGGCAGGCCACCCTGTGAACACATCTGCTCTAGCCTTGAACTTGCAGCCTCTGGGCTGTTAACTGTATGGCTTAGTGCCTGTGCCACACCAATCCCATCTTAAAGGCTGACTGTAATATAAATACAAGTATCTAATGCAGGGGTGCTCTCCCCTAACCCATGTAACTATGTCATCCAGGGTTCCCCATGGGACTGAAAATGTGGCAGGAAGGGAGTAGTGGCAGTGTGCTCTGCTGCTGCCACATTTCCAGACCTGATCATTAGATCCAGTACATGCAGCAGGTCTGAAGCAATACCTGGCCTCGTCCAAACACATGGGGTCAAATCTGGGTGCATGGAGCCAGGCCAAGGTGGTGCAGGGTCTTATCAGGTTGGCATGGGGTCTGGCCAAGGCATCATGGGGCCAGATCTAGATCATGTAGGGCCTGATCCATTTTTATAGAGCCTGGTCTGGGTACAGAGGGATCAGATGTAGGTGGCATGAGGCCAAATTCAGGTACAAGGGCTGGGCTGAGTTGGCATGGGGCCCAACTGGGGAGCACCCAGTCCCCATCTCGGTGTGCGGAGCAGGTATCTGACCTGTGGGCTGGTCTTACATTACTCCTGTTACCCACAGGGCCAAAAGGTTGAGCAACACTGATCTAATCATTTAATACCATAAGAGAATTATAATGTTTATTATAT